CTTTATGTTAGTTGATCTTAGTGTAAGGAATTATGAAGCTGATTATGAGTAGTTAAGCTAAATACCTCATGTCACACTAAATAAAAATGGAGGTAGTTTAATAAAAGTACTTCCTATTAATTGACTTATTGTATCAGGTGAATGATGTAAAAAAGGGAAATCTTGTTCCAACCTGAGTCAACTTCGAAATCTCACTTCTCCTGTTTCTGGACACTCCATAGATGTCACTGGAGCCCAGTACAGGAGATAACTCGTTTCCATCTAATAAGATGGTCTAAGTGAGACTTACAAGAATTTTTGTGACGTCATAGGTTATAACAAAACGAAACGTATTCGAACATCAATAATATTCAGACATTTATTCCTTAGGGATATATAGAAACCTGGAATAAATGTTGAAAGCAACCCGACAAACAGAAAAAGGCAAATCGTCGTGATTATGCGCAAAAATAATAATAATAATAACAATAATAAATTCAGTTCCAGATGAAATGATGTTGATGATGATGATGATGATGATGATGAAAAAAAATTAACGTTGTAAAGAAAATTAAAAAAAAAAATTTATCTGGAATTTTCACTTCGTGATTTTTAGGGTCAGCAAGTTTTTCTTTTTTTTTTTTTTTTTGTTTTGCGCACGCGGCGAGCGTTAATTTTTGATTGATATGATTAAAATTTTACGTCAGCGGAAGTTCCGGAATATTTAATTAAGAGAAATTTAATTACGGAACATTAACATTTGACCAACACCGTAATAATAATAATAATAATGATAAATTTTTATTGTGCGTGTGTTGGGGATGCGGCGTGTCAACAGTAAACGTCATCATCGTTCGTATATTTTCACTATTTCAATTTCTTATTTATTATTATTATTATTATTATTTTTATTCCAGGTAATAAAATTAAACAACATCGAATCGTTTCCGGGGGGGGGGGGAGAATATATGAAAAGGTGAAGTTTACAATTATCCGATAATAAATTGACGGAATCGAATCGGAAAATGTTTACGGATTTGAAAAACGTATGGTCGATATCGATTTAATCGGAAATAATAAAAAAAACAAAACGAATTCATTCCGATAGGTCAACAAACGACAAACAATTAAAAAAACAAACAAACGAACAAACAAACAAACGTAAAAAAAGTTGATGAATCGTACATAAATAAAAAAAATAATTTTTACCTTTTTCATGGATTCTCACGAAATCGATTAGAATTGCAAAAAAAAATCCGTTAACGAACGTGGCAGAAGAAAAACGTTTTTTTAATCGCTTTTACATTCGTATTAAGGGAAGAAATTGTAATGTGAAAAAACGATGATTTTTTTATCGGGGATTCGTAAATTTAACACGTTTAAATTTAACCGGAAATCCGTTAATCGAAAGTATTTAAACCGTTGGCAACACTGTCAGAATTAAAAATCCGTTTGAAAAAATCAATTAAAAATTATTAGATACGAGTGACGTGAAATTAAATAACGATTATATCGATTCGACGGCCATATTTAAATCGTTTGGAAAAAAAAAAATTTACCGGATATGAAAATTTTTAAGAATTTTAACGTTGAGCGGAAACGACGAATTAACGGATATGGATGTAATCATAACGAATTAGATTTTGATCCGTTTGTCGTTTGTCGAATCCGCTCGACGAAAAACCATTCGGTAATGTTACATCTCTTTTAAAAAATTAAACAAACAAATCAATTGACTCACCGTTTATCCGCCATTTTGTCGCCTCTTAAAAAAGTCGCAACGTTGAAAAATTCCAAGGAACTTTTTTTGATAATTTAACGGATTCAAAAAATCTCGATATATTCTGGTGGAATCCACTGGAAAAAAAACATTTTCAATGATTTATTAGATCCCCATAAAAATTTAAAATATTTAAACGTGGGTTAGAGTAATAATTTATTTTCGTTTGTCTTCCGACACGTTTTTTCAAAAACTAAAAAAATTAATTTTATCCCGTAATTATTTAAGAAAAATGGCAACGTTGGAATCGAACGATTACAAACTGGAAAAATCCACAGGGATTAAAATTTATTTCTTAATAAAACTATTTTTTATAATACCCGGAAATCCTTTGAAAATTAATCGTGGATCACCTTTTCCGGTGCGAATCCGTGAATTGACGTCTTCGTCGTATTTATCTTATTGTAAAATACCGCGACTTCCGGTCGATTGTTTCGATCAAACTAAAAATTTAACGCGTTTGCATAAGAGAAAACAATCGATCGGATAACAATATGGCGGAAGAGAAGTCAAACGAAAATTTTTTAAATCGTTTAAATAATTTAAATAATTTAGATTTAACACCGGAAATCGTTTTAAACGAAATTAACACCGGATATAATTTTAAAAAATCGGATTATGTTAAATTAACTAAAAATCCTTGTACCTGTGATTGGAAAAATGTGACGTAACAACACGTTTGATCCATGACGTTTAATCGCCATGTATGAGAAAATGACGTCACAAACGACGAAAAAAAAAAAACAAAATAAAAAAAAATAATTCTAATTACACTGTGAAAACTTTTAACGCGTAAATTTTTTTCTTTTTTTTTTTTTTGAAACCGGAAATTTGTAAAATAGAACACGTTAATTGTTATCGAATAACGACGTGTCACTTGAAATTTTAACTGCTCTTATTCTGATCTGACCCGATGTTTTTATTTGATGACACGAAAAAATTTACGCGCCATTTTTTTTTTCCTCATCCAAATTTAATCTGATTTTTCCGCGTTTTTTTTTTGTTTATTTCGCCGTCGCGTTTATTATTATTATTATTATTATTAACTTAAACGATTTTATGCAATTAAAAGTTTAATTCAAAGAAAAATTTCAATGGCGATGATGATGATGATGATGATGATGATGATGAAATTTTTCCAGTTGGTAAAAGGGATACCAACAGTAAAAACAAAATGATGAATGGATCTCGTATCGTATTTTACTTCTGCCACGTTAATTTTAACCCTTTTCGTTGACTTACTTAAAAGCTTTTTAATACCGGAAGTGTCCTATCACCAAATTACGTTTTTATGAATGATTTGATGTTTTTGATAAGAAAAAAAGATGGAAAGTAATAAGAATGAAAAATTTGTCTTGTTACCTTTAAAATTTACTCATAAATACGAAAGAAACCAACCGTCGGAAAACCGAAAAAAAAAATACAACGAAAAGATTTTAGAAGAAAAGAAAAAATCCTTTAAAGTTATTTCCTTTTTTTTTAAATTCGGAAAAGAAAACAATAATAATAATAATAATGATAATGATAATGATACGTAGCGTTCACGTGAGAAAACAAAAATAGTGTTACCATCTTTATAAAAAAAAAAAATAAAATTTATTCTATTTTCTATGAGTGGATTTCTTTCTCTCTCTCTCTCCCCCCTCCCCCTCTCTTACTTTTTCTTCCTATCTCTTTCTCTCTATTTCTATCATCCTCTCCTCCTCCTCCTTTTTTCTCTCTTTCTCTTACTCTCACTTTTTCTCTCTTATTCCGTCTCCCTCTCTCTTTCTCTTTCTCTATGTCTCCTTTTCCCTTTCTCTAACTCTCTCTCTCTCTTTCTCTTTTCCTCCTCCTCTCCCTCGACCTCTACCCCCCTCTCTCTCTCTTTACTTCTCTTTTGATATAAAATCGAAATCGATTTATAACCGGAAAATAAATAGAAAACAATTTACTACGAAATCACAGAGATAAAAATTTTCATTCTTTTATCGTCGCAGCATTTCATAGAGTAACAAAAAAAAATAAAATAAAATAAAATTATTCGTAAAAAATTTCATTTCGTTTCATTTTTTTTTTTTTGATTGCAAACGACGAATAAAAAAAAAAAATCAAATTATTATCATTATCATTATCATTATTATCATCATCATTATTATTATCGCAGAGTATTAAACTCGTTCGTTAGTGCTTTGCATAAAAAAAAACAAATCGAATCGAATATTGAATAATTTGTTTATGATCTCGTTATAAAAATACGTTTTTACTCGTTAAAAAATAAAGAAAGAAAACCGGAAATGAAATTATTATTTATTTATTTATTAAATATTCCGATCGATATCCGTTTAATAAAAATATATCAAACGATAATAAATATTTAAGGGAAAAGAAAAAAAAAAAAAGATTAACCGTAAACGCGTAAAATTATTTAAAATTTAAAAAAAATAAATAAATAAATAAAATGAAAGAAAGTTAAATTTTATGTAAAACAAATAACCATTTCCGGTTGATGAAAGCATAAAGAAGAAAATTTATGTATATATATATATATATATATATATATATATATGAATGCATACGTACTTGAAAATAAAATAAAAAAAATTTTCCCTCTTCTATTTTATTAGCCTCGTAATAAATTTCCACGCTTCAAATAAAAAAAACAAAATGGCCGCCTTCGTATACACGTCATAAAAATTTTTTTCTACTTCCACGTTTCTTTTTTTTTTGTTTTGTCATCTAAAAAATTTTAAAAGAATAATGAAAAATTTTTTTTTTTTTTTAACAACAATTAATAATTTTTATTATCATTATTATTTAATTTTTTTTACATAATTTTTTTTATGCGAATCAAGAAATTTTATTTATTTATTTATTTAATTATTTAATTAATAAACAATTTTTATTAATTTCAAAAAAAAAACAAAAAAAAAATTTTTTTTTTTTTCTTTACCTTATCCGGTTCCTCTTTACCGTTCGCGCCTTTTTTTTCAAATTTTTCTTTTACCGTATCCGGTTTCTCATTTTCTTTCGCGCATTTTTTTTCTTTCTTAAATTTAATTTTTAATCGAACGCGTTTTTCTTTTAATTAAAAACGACCTTAAAATTTATTATTATTGTTATTATTATTATTATTATTATTATAATTATCGATTAATCAGGACCGTATTAAAGTAATTTTATAAATGATAACAATACCGTATTATTGATGATATGCTTTTTCTTTTCAAAAGAGAAATTTTTTTTTTTTTTCAATTACAATTCGATTAATTTTTTCTCGGTGAAGAACTCATCGTCGTATTATTATTATTATTATTATTGTGATAATACTGTTGTTGTTGTTGTGATGACGTCATATGTACATCCTCAACGCTGGATCTTTGTTGATGATTTTTTCTTGACGAATCCGCTTGTCCGGCTGCGACGTAAGAAAAAACGCACAAAACTGCGTAACATATTTGATCCGCCTGAAAAAAAAAAACAAACAAACGATTTGTTTTATTATTATTATTATCGATGCGGTTGTTGTTGTTGTTTTTTTTTGGGGGGGGGAGGTGGGGAGAACGGGTTTATGAAAACAAATAAAAATAAAACTACAGAATCGTTATAAAAAAAAAAAAAAAAAAAAGAAAAAACAAAGCAAAAATAAAAAAAGCAAATAATTACAATGTAAACAACAAACAACGACAAACAATACTATTTCCGTTTTCTAGAAAATTCTTTTGTGGTTTTTTTAAATAAAAATAAATAAATAAATTTTTTTTTTTTTTTGTTTCGGTTCAATCGGGTTTGGTTTCCTTTTCGAAATTTTTTTCTGCCAAATGAACGGAAATAATTCGATGCAAAACAAAAACTATTTGCGGTCCCTAAAAACAAAAAAAAAATATAAAAAAAATATAAAAAAAATAAAAACATAATAATAATAATAATAATAATAAATTAAAATCTAGTCTTGTCTAGTCTGATAAAAAAAAAATCAAATAAAATTAAATTATATAAAAATAAAATAAAATAAATTAAAATTCTTTTTTTTTTTTTTTAAATATCTAATTACACGACAAACGGTAAAATAATAATAATAATAATAATGATGATGATGATGATGATGAAGTGAACATACCATCGGAGATTTGTATCTTCTTTCGATTATTTGTCTCGTTTTCGGTACTGAAAAAAAGTAAAAATAAAAAAAATAAAAAAAGTTAAAATTAATTAATAAAAATGGATTTAAAGGGGAGAAGGTGAGCGGGGAGGGGCGGGGGCGGAGCGTGGGAGAAAGCGGAAGTGAGCCGACCGTTAATAAATGAGCGAAAATGATAAGCAGACGACCAAAAAATATAATTCATGTAAAAATTTAAGGATATAAAAATTATTAAATAATAAAATGGAGGAGGGAAAATGAGAGAGAGAGAGAGAGAGAGGGGGGGGGGAGACAAAAAGAGAAAGAGAGAGAGAGAGAAATTAGAGAGATGAAAAAAATTGGCGGGAAAAAAAAATTTTGAATTTAACATTTGCAAAATATAAAAATAAAAAAAAAATTTTTTTTTTTTTAAATTTTTTTTTCTATTTACACGATTTTTCTTTTACGAACCCGCGCTTTGAACAAAATTCAAAAAAAATAAAATAAAAAATACTCTTTTCTAATTCCACGTTCTAATAAATTACCTTCCCCCCTTCCATGTTGCGATTCGAAATTATTTATTTACACCGATACACGCCGCTCCCACATAAATTTTTATTATTTTGTCAAAACGACGGCGGGGCGGAGGTGGGGGCGTCGGGAGGTGGGGTGGCGGGGGCGGTGATAACGATAACGTCATAACCGCAAGTAAATAAATAAATTTTTGCACCGCGATAGTAAAACTTTTCCAAATCAGATTTCTAAAGATGAATGCTAAGAGAGTAAAGCGCACTCGAAAACCATCCGCCTCCCAACCTCCCCCCCCACCCTCCCTCCTCCCACCGTAACGAAAACGTTTCTCGATAAAAAATTATTTAAATTTCATTTTGGCGGGAAAAAATTTAAATTCAAACGCAATAAATAATCAACTTACTGTATTCTTCCAACACGAACATTCCACCTTTTTGAGTGTAACATTTTCTTATGTGATCCAAACGTACGAAAAACTATAATAAAAAAAAAAAAAGAATAATAATAATAATAATTTTAAACGGAAGTGACGTTTTTTATTTTTATTTTTTTTTTACGAGTAAACAAACAAACTTACCCTATTTATTAAAGTAAATAAAAAAAAAATTATTTAAACATTTAAAACTACCATGCAATAATATATTTCTAAATAAATACATTAATAAAAATAAACAGCATAAATAAATAAATATGTGATTTTTCAACGATAATAATAATAATAATAAATAAATAAATAAAATAAAATAAAAAAAATGCATAGGTACTTTTTTATGACAAGAGATGGTCATATCTAGGAAAGTGAAAAATATCATCTACTTTATATTCAAAAATTGTTATTATTTTTTTTTTTTTTTTTTTTATTATTTTGTAAATTTTTTTCATGCCATTTTTTTTTCTTCTGCTTTTTTTTTAAATCGGAGCAAAATAAAAAATAAATAAAATAAAAATAAATAGGTGAGTTAATAATAATAATAATAATAATAATAATAATAATAATAATAATAAATAGCGAGCTATTTTTTTTTTTTTTTTTAAATGAGTTTTGTGTTTCAAAGTCATCGCACGTCATCATAATCGTCATCGTTGTCGTCATCGTTTCATCTATAAAAAA